CAGTGATACTCATAGTGGTATTAATAATATTATTGCTAATAGTAGTAATATATACAGTAGTAGTACTAGTAACACTGATACTCATAAAAATAATTCAAATACTAATAATAATAGTAATGCTAATGCTAGGAATACTAATACTATAGTGAACACGTATTAATGTTAATGATTGTGGATGACAAGAAGAACAAGAAAACGATTAATCATAATAACAAGAATAAGACTAGTAATAATAAGAAAAAGAAGAAACATTAATATCAGGGAAAGTTTAGTAATGCTAGGGCACATATTAAGAATAATAATAGAAAGAAGGAGAATATTATAACTAAGAATAATAAAAAGAAGAAGAAAAGCAATAACGATAAGACGAACAAGAACACTAAGAAGAATACTGATACTAATCAGAAGAAGAATAATATGAATGCGAAGAAGATTAAGAATATAGTCATAATAACGAGCAGGGGGATAATAATAATGATAAGAAGACGAAGAATAAGACGAATGACAATAATAATAATACGCAGAAGGCTAACAAGAAAAAGAAGAATATGACGAAGAAGGATGAGAAGAATACGAAGAAGAAGCAGAATAATAATGATGATAAACACAAGATAAATAAGCACCATAAGAAAAAGAAAATGAAGAAGAAGAAGAAGGAGACGAAGACTAAGACACATAAGAATAATAATAAGCATAACAGTAATAGTAGGAACCATAGGAAGATTAATGATAGTAATAGGAAGAATAATATGAAGACGAAGAAGGCGAACAGGAAGAATACGAAGAAGAAGAAGAACCCTAAGAATAATCATGGGCGGACGCGCGAGAAGAAGCGCGGGGGGAAGCAGAGCAGCAGCAGGGCAGAAGCAGGATAATAATACTAACCAAAAGAGGAATAAGCAACATAATAAGAACAAACATACTAATAATTGTAAGACGAAGAAGGATAATACTTAGAATACCACTAATGACAAGAAGAATAATGAGTATAAGAAGAATAAGAAGAATGATGAGAAGGAGAAAAAGGAGAAGAAGGAAAATGAGAAAACAGAAGAAGAATGATAATACGCATAATAATATTTATACGATTCATAATAAGAGCAGGAAGAAGTGACAGAAGAAGAATATCAAGGCGACGAGGGTGAAGACGAATGAGAAGAATAATAATTACATAAGAATGAGAATAAAGGAGCAGAAGACAAATATTAATGATGCGAATATTATTAGTAATAATAATAACAGAAGAATAGTAGGATTCATAATGATAGTAAGAATATTACAAATAATAAGAGTAATAATAGTGCAAAGAAGAGTAATAAGAGTAATAACCAGAAGATTAAGAATAGTAATTATAATCAAATGAGAAGAAGACTCATAATAATAAGAAGAATAGTAAACATTGTGGGAGGACTAGAAAGAATAAGGAGAAATAGAATGAGAAGAATACTAAGGAGAATAATAAGAAGACTTAGAAAAATAGGAATACTATGAATAAAAAAAGAATGCGCAAAAGGACAAATGATAATATTCACGGCGCGAATGATAATCAAAAAACATATTGAGAAGAAAAAGAGAACAAATGAGAAGAACAATGGGAAGAAAACAAACAAACTAAACATAAAAAATAGTAATTGTAAGAAGGATAGCGAGAAGAAGAAGCATGCTACTAATAATAATGATAAGAAGAATAATCATAATAATATGAAGAACAAGACTACTAGCAATCATAATAATAAGATTAAGCATTATAAGCAGAAGAAGAGCAGGGACATTAATAATGAGAATAAGAATGGGGATGCGAAGAAGAAGGATAATAATAAGAACGCGAAGCATGCGAATAATCATAACAGGAAAAAGATAACTAATATTAAGAGTAATACTAATTCTTATGGAGTTATAAGAAGAGGAACGAAACGAAACATAGGGCAACTATTATTAATATAAAACTTAGTAGGAAAAGGAATAAGACGAACAAAAAACGAATAATAAGAAGAATGATAATGCGAAACCATATGAAGAATAAGAAGACGAAGCAGGCGAAAAAGAGGAAGGGGACGAAGAGGAATTCGAAGAAGAAGGAGAAGAAGAAAAACTCATAATAAGAAGGGGATTAACAAGAAAACGAATAATAAGAATAAGAGGCATAAAACTAATAATAGGAATGGGGAGAAGAGGGGGAAGAGGGCGCTTGCGAAGACGCATAAGAAAAATAAGACTAGTAATCATAAGAAGTAGAGGCATAAGGGCCAGAAAAAGAAGAAGACGCCGAAGCATAATAATAATCATAATACTAATCATAAGAAGAAGAAAGCGAATGCGAAGAAGAAGGCGAACAACAATACTAAGAAGAAGCAACGCAATAAACAAGAGAAGAATGCGGGGGATGAGAAGGATAATAATCAGAAGAATAAGAAGAATCAGGAGCATAATAAGAATAAGAAGAAGAACGGGAAGAAGAACAAACAAAAATGATGGGAAACATAATAATATTAGGAGGAAGGCGAAGACGAATAATACTAGGAATGGTAATATGGAGAAGATGAATAAACATAAAAATAGTCAAAGTAATATCATGAATAGTAATAATAATTCTATCAATAACAATGCACATCGTGCCAAAGTAAGTGTGCAAATAATATTATTAGTAATATTAATAGTAAGTTTAATAAAGCTAGTAAGAATAGTACTAAGAACAGTAGTAATACGATTAACACTGATACTAATAATAATCATACAAATGCTAGTAATACCACTGCTGGTAATACTGGGAAGGCTAATAATATAATAATACAACTGCTGTAATAATGATAGCAATAACAAGAAGAAGATCGCGAAGAAGAATAACAATAATAGGAATACTGGTGATACCTAGGATTACAAAAGAAGAAATACATCATAAGGAAACGACTAATGATACTAAGACGCAGACTAGGACTAATACGAAAAAGAAGAAGAATAAAAATATGAAGAATAATACAAAGAAGAAGCATAATAACAATAATCATAAGGCGAATAAGGGCAATGAGAAGACCAATGGCACTAATAAAAAACAAGAAGAATAATACTAACACAAAGAACAAGAATAATCAGAATAAGGTGGGTAATAAAAATGCGAATAATACTAATGAGAAGAAGAAGGCTTAATAATGATAGTGAGAATAATAAGAACAATAATGCAACTATTATTGATAATGCGATTGATAATGCTATCAGTAATAGCAATACTAATCTTTGTAATGCTAGTGATAGTAGTATGAAGAAGAAAACTAAGATTAATAGCATTAAGAAGCATTTTCAGAAGACTTTTACGAATAATAAGAAGACTCATAAAAATAAGAGTAATAAGAAGACGAATGATACTAATAATAAAAAGAGAAAAGAAAAAGAAGCATAATGATAATAATGATAACAAGAAGAAGACGAATAACGGAATAATAAGAAAAAAATGATAAGAAGAATTGTGAAACTATTAATGGGGGGACGAAGACGAAGGCGAAGAAGAATAAGGAGGATATTAAGACGAATGTGAAAATGATTAATGCCAAAAATAAGAATAATAAGAAGGAGGAGAAGAGGAAGAAGAAACACATGAATAATTGTTATGCACAGTTTAATAATACTGAGCAAACTAAGAAAAGAGTAAGAAGGAGGAGATGAATAATTATAAGAACCATGCGAAGAAAAATGCGAGTATTAATAGTGAGAAGAAAAAATAAATCGCATAATAAGAATAAGCAGGAGAAGAAGCATAATACTAATATTAATAGTAATAAGAAGAAGATGAACAAGACTAATGATAATTTGAATGATCTCAAGCATGATAAGCAGAAGAATAAGGAACATAATCATAATAATGAGAACGACGAGAAGAAACATATGGAGAAGAAGAAGTCATACTATTAACATTGATATTAGAATACAAATCATAATTAATATGAGCAACGAGAATACTCAGAAGAAGAAGAAGGGGAATGATAATCGGCAGAAGAAGACGAATAATAATGATAATAGCAAGGAAAACAATATCAATACTAGGAGAAGAATATAAGTGTTAATACGAAGAGGAATACGAAACATAATAATAAGGAGAATAATAGCAGGAATGATGGTAATAACAATCATCAGAAACCTAATGCGAATAAGAAAATGAAGAATGATAAAAAGAAGCAGAATACTAATATTAAGAAACATGCAACTAATAATAATAAAACATAATAAGAAGAAGAAAAAGATGACGAATTATACGCGTACTACAAATGCTAATAATATGAAGAAGAATGAGGAGACAACGGCTAAGAATGATAATAAGCATAAACATACAAATGCACATAGTATTAATAATAGTAACAGTCATGTTTAAAAAGAATATTAGAAATAATAGCAATGCGAATAATCATATTAGCACTCTGGAAAAAAAGAAGAATATTAATAATGAGCAGAAAAATAACATACATTATGATAAGAATAATAATGATAATAATCATAATATGAAGAAAAAGAGGAATACTACTAACAATATTAAAAATAATACCGCGAACAAGAAAAATAAGCAATATGAAGAAACATGAGAAGAATAAGAAGAGGAATACTAATCATATTAATAATGATATGAATAATGAGAAAACTATTGGTAAACAAGTAAAAATATTCATAAGAAAATATGCATAATCAGAATAATAACAATAATACTCATAAGAAGAAACATGCAAATAACAATATCAATACGAATAATAATAAAAATAAGAATCAGCAGAACAAGAAGAACAATAATGATACTAATGCTATGAAGAATAGAAGACAATAATAAGAATGACAAGAAGATGAAGAATAAGAGTAATAATACTAAGAAGACGAATACAAACAATAAGCATAATAATAATGATAATAATAGGAAGATAAGAAGAAGTAAAATAATACTAATAATAAGAAGAAAACTGAGAATACTAATAATAGTAGGAATAATAGTAAGAATAGGCATAATTACAAGGAGAGGGGGGCGCCTCCGGGGGCGCGCCTCGATTCCCGCCCCAGAGGCGAGCCTGGCGGGCTGTGCTGCGGCAGGCCCGGCGAGCTGGGCGCTGGGAACAGCCGAGGTCTCCTTGTCGGCGTGGGCGGGGGGGGCGTCGCACGGGCGGCCCGGGCCGGAAGGTCAGACCAGGGGGGGCTTGCGCCCGGGGGGCGTCCTGGGCCCTAGCGCTGGCGCCCGGGAACCCGGGGTGCCCCCAAACGCGCGGGGGCGTTGCAGCGGCGCGTGCGAGCCGGGGGCGCCGGCGACGCCCTGGGCCACGGGGGGCGGGGCCGCCGCCTCCGCGTCCGCGGGGGGCGTGCGGGGCGGCGTGGTATTGCAAGCTGCGAGAGGATGAGCTGGGGCGACGCCGCGATCGGCTGCGGCGGCGTCTGCTCCTGGAGCGACTGCGGCTGTCATCGCGGCGGCGGCGCGAGCGAGCCGTGGGCTTCGCCGAGCTGGCCGGCGCGGCGCCAAGCCGGCCTCTCCTCGGCCGCTGGGCCGACACCATGTAGCGGTGTCAGCGGCGGGCGCGGGAAATCAGACCCCCCCCCGTGCGCGCCCAGCGTGGGCGGCTGGGCGGCAAGTACTAGGACCGAGGAGGAGGGGGGAATGCGCGTGCAGACGACATCCGCGAGCTGCTGTAATTAGGCTGCACCGCGACAGCAGAGGAAGAGCATCGCAAGTTGGTGAAGCAGGGTCAGCGCGCGAGACATTCAACGAGCGAGAAGCGCAACCAGCACGGCGACGCAAACGCGCGCGCACGAAGCGCATCGCGACTGTGAAGCAGGACCGCGTCGCGACTGCGAAGCAGAGGCGTGGCGGCCCTGAGAGACGCAAGCAAATGCGTTATCGAATGCGTCGGCGCGCTGGGACACATGCCGCATGCGATGCGCCGTGCAAGTGGGCAAGTTGGCCCGCGGTGGCACCCTAGAGCACTCGCGCGCAAGATCGCGAGAAGCACGTCTCGCGACTGCAGAGCAGGACCGCATCGCGACTGTGAGGCAGAAGCGCGGGGGCACGGTGAGCCACATGCACGCGAAAAGCGCAGGGCATCGCGACTGTGAAGCAGGGCCGTTTCGCGACTGTGAAGCAGAGGCGCAGCAGCGCAGAGACGCAAACGCAGGCGCACGAAGCGCATCGCGACTGCGAAGCAGGACCGCATCACGACTGTGATGTAGACATGCGTGGCAGCGCGTAGACACCGGCCCGCGCGTGCGAAGCGCCGCGCAAATTGGAAGCAGGACTGCGTCAGGACTGCGAGGCAGAGGCGTGTCAGCACTGCGAGACCAATGAGTCGCAGCGCCACCCGTCCTCATCAAGTTCGCCGCAACAGCTCAAGGGCACCCCGCTGCCCGAGAGCACGCCGCGAGGGCAGCGTGTTCCCCTTGTGCCACGCTTTCGACGCGCCGTCTGCGTGAGCAAGTAGGCCAGCGGTGGTGCCCTAGAGCACTCGCACACGAGAGTACGAAATGCACGTCTCGCGACAATGAAGCAGGACCGCATCGCGATTGCGAAGCAGAAGCGCGGGGGCGCGGAGAAACGCGAGCACGCGAAAAGCGCGCGTTACAACTGCGAAGCAGGGCCGCGTCCCGACTGTGAGACAGACAGGCGGTAGGGGCACGGCGACGCAAACGCGCGCGCACGAAGCGCATCGCGACTGTGAAGCAGGACCGCATCTCGACTATGAAGCAGAGGCGTGGCGGCCCTGAGAGACACAAGCAAATGCGTTATCAAATGCGTCAGTGCGTTGGGACACATGCCATATTCGATGCGTCATGCACGTGGGCAAGTTGGCCCGTGGTGGCGCCCTAGAGCACTCGCACACAAGATCGCGAAAAACACATCTCACGACTGCAGAACAGGACCGCATCACGACTGTGAAGCAGAAGCGCAGGGGCACGGTGAGCCACATGCACGCGAAAAGCGCATGGCATCGCGACTGAGAAGCAGGGCCGCGCCCCGACTGTGAGACAGACATGCGGTAGGAGCACGGAGACACAAACGCGCGAACACGAGGCGCATCGCGACTGAGAAGCAGGGCCGCTTCACGACTGTGAAGCAGAGGCGTGGCGGCACGGAGAGACGCGAGCAAATGCGTTATCAAATGCGTCAGTGCGTCGTGGCACGTGCCGTGTGCTTGTCGCGGAGGGTGCAACAATGAGCAGCTGAAAAATCAAATGTGCCAGTGCGTTGGGGCGCATGCCTCGAAATCACCACTGAGAGTGCTACGCAGGGTGGACGATGGACAACACTGCAGCCAACGACATGCGACGTGCAATCCTTCATGGAGCGCTCTTCCAAAAGGCGCGCAAGCCCCCAGCAGCTGGATGCCCGAAGGAGCACATGCGTTGGCCGATGCGCGCGGGCGCGACTTTCGGAGACACCCGCGCGCCCATGCCGACAGACGCGCGCAAACTTTGTCGGGCCGCAAGCACGTGCACAACAAGAGCTACCACAGAAACGCGGACAGGCAAAAAGGCCAACGACCCAGGTGGAAGAGCAGGGGCAGGGAGGGGGCAAGGGGGGGGAGCGATGGGTTCAGATCCCAACCGGGCGCGTGAGATCCCAACCGGACGGTTCAGATCCCAACCGTCTAAAACACCAGGCACGGTCAGATCCCAACCGAGGAGGAAGCGAATACAGAACACATATTGAAAAGTTACCATACTTGTTCATTGCTATCTGAAATTGCGATGGACACCTTACAGGAGCAGACTTACGCCTGAGATATTGCGGTTGGGATCTTGCGCGTCTTTTGATGAATCGTAGCAGTGGTAGAAGTAGTAGTGGTAGTTGTAGTCGTAGTAGTAGTAGTAGTAGTAGTAGTAGTAGTAGTAGTAGTAGTAGTAGCAGTAGTAGTAGTAGTAGTCGTAGTACTAGTACTAGTAGTACTAGTAGTAGTAGTAGTAGTAGTAGTAGTAGTAGGCGTAGTAGTAGTAGTAGTAGTAGTAGTAGTAGTAGTAGTAGTAGTAGTACTAGTACTATAGTAGTAGTAGTAGTAGTAGTAGTAGTAGTAGTAGTAGTAGTAGTACTATAGTAGAAGTAGTAGTAGTAGTAGTAGTAGTAGTAGCAGTAGTAGTAGTAGTAGTTAGTAGTAGTAGTAGTAGTAGTAGTAGTAGTAGTAGTAGTAGTAGTAGTAGTAGTAGTAGTAGTAGTAGTAGTAGTAGTAGTAGTAGTAGTAGTAGTAGTAGTAGTAGTAGTAGTAGTAGTAGTAGTAGTAGTAGTAGTAGTAGTAGTAGTAGTAGTAGTAGTAGTAGTAGTAGTAGTAGTAGTAGTAGTAGTAGTAGTAGTAGTAGTAGTAGTAGTATAGTTATAGTAGTAGTAGTAGTTAGTAGTAGTAGTAGTAGTAGTAGTAGTAGTAGTAGTAGTAGTAGTAGTAGTAGTAGTAGTAGTAGTAGTAGTAGTAGTAGTAGTACTAGTAGTAGTAGTAGTAGTAGTAGTAGTACTAGTAGAGTAGTAGTAGTAGTAGTAGCAGTAGGTAGTAATCAGCGTAGTAGTAGTAGTAGTAGTAGTAGTAGTAGTAGTAGTAGTAGTAGTAGTAGTAGTAGTAGTAGTAGTAGTAGTAGTAGTAGTAGTAGTAGTAGTAGTAGTAGTAGTAGTAGTAGTAGTAGTAGTAGTAGTAGTAGTAGTAGTAGTAGTAGTAGCGTAGTAGTAGTAGTAGTAGTAGTAGTAGTAGTAGTAGTAGTAGTAGTAGTAGTAGTAGTAGTAGTAGTAGTAGTAGTAGTAGTAGTAGTAGTAGTAGTAGTAGTAGTAGTAGTAGTAGTAGTAGTAGTAGTAGTAGTAGTAGTAGTAGTAGTAGTAGTAGTAGTAGTAGTAGTAGTAGTAGTAGTAGTAGTAGTAGTAGTAGTAGTAGTAGTAGTAGTAGTAGTAGTAGTAGTAGTAGTAGTAGTAGTAGTAGTAGTAGTAGTAGTAGTAGTAGTAGTAGTAGTAGTAGTAGTTAGTAGTAGTAGTAGTAGTAGTAGTAGTAGTAGTAGTAGTAGTAGTAGTAGTAGTAGTAGTAGTAGTAGTAGTAGTAGTAGTAGTAGTAGTAAGTAGTAGTAGTAGTAGTCGTAGTAGTAGTAGTAGTAGTAGTAGTAGTAGTAGTAGTAGTAGTAGTAGTCAGTGTAGTAGTAGTAGTAGTAGTAGTAGTAGTAGTAGTAGTAGTAGTAGTAGTAGTAGTAGTAGTTAGTAGTTAGTAGTAGTAGTAGTAGTAGTAGTAACAGCAGTCGTTAGTAGTAGTAGTAGTAGTAGTTATAGTTAGTAGTAGTAGTAGTAATTATAGTAGTAGTAGTAGTAGTAGCAGTCGTAGTAGTAGTAGTAGTAGTAGTAGTAGTGTAGTAGTAGTTCGTATTAGTAGTAATAGTAGTAGTAGTATTGGTGGTAGTAGTAGTAGTATTGGTAGTAGTAGTCGTAGTCGTAGTAGTAGTAGTCGTAGTAGTAGTAGTAGTAGTAGTAGTAGTAGTAGTAGTAGTAGTAGTAGTAGTAGTAGTAGTAGTGGTAGTAGTAGTAGTAGTAGTAGCGGTGGTAGTAGTAGTAGTAGTAGTAGTAGTAGTAGTAGTAGTAGTAGTAGTAGTAGTAGTAGTACTAGTAGTAGTAGTAGTAGTAGCAGTAGTAGTAGTAGTAATAATAATAATAGTAGTTGTAGTACTAGTTGTAGTAGTAGTAATCTCTGAGGAATCTCTCAGGAATCTCTCAGAATCTCTCAGAATCTTTCAGAAGCTCTCAGAATCTGTCAGAGTCTCTCAGAATCTGTCAGAATCTTTCAGAATCTCTCAAGAGCTTTAAAACAATATCAAAATCCCTCAGAAGCTCTCAGAATCTCTCAGAATCTGTCAGAACCTCTCAGAATCTCACAGGAATCTCTCAGGAACCTTTTAGAATCTCTCAGAATCTCTCAGGATCTATCAGAACCTCCCAGGATCTCGCAGAATCTTTCAGAATCTCTCAGGCATCTCTCAGGAACCTTTCAGAATCTCTTAGGAATCTCTCGGAATCGTTCAGAATCTCTCAGGATCTCTCAGAAGCTCTCAGAATCTGTTAGAATCTCTCAGGATCGCTCAGAATCTATCAGAATCTCTCAAAGGCTTTCAAACAATATCAAAATCCCTCAGAAGCTCTCAGAATCTTTCAGAATCTCTCAGAACCTCTCAGAATCTCTCAGGATCTCTCAGGAATCTCTCAGGAACCTTTCAAAATCTCTCTGGAATCTCTCAGAATCGCTCAGAATCTCTCAGGATCTCTCAGAATCTCTCAGAATCTCTCAGGATCTATCAGAATCTCTCAGGATCTCTCAGAATCATTCAGCATCTCTCAGAATCTCTCAGAATCTCTCAGAATCTCCGAGGAATCTCTCAGGAATCTCTCAGGAATCGATCAGGAATCTCTCAGAACCTCTCAGGAATCTCCCAGAATCTTTCGGAATCTCTCAGAATCTCTCAGGATCTCTCAGAATCTCTCAGGATCTTTAGAATCTCTCAGGATCTTTAGAATTTCTCAGAAACTCTCAGAATCTCTCAGAGACTCGCAGTGGCTCTCAGAACCTTGCAGAGGTTGGAGTTTTTTTTCAGAGGCTCCAAAGTGGTTGGGATCTCACGCGTCCCACGTGTCCTTGACGGTTGGGATCTGAACCGTCCGGTTGGGATCTCACGCGTCTGGTTGGGATCTGAACCTTTCTCAGAGGGGGGAGGGATGGGGGGGGGGGCGAGCGAGGGAGGGAGGGGGAGAGGGGGGGAGGGGGAGACAAGCACAACGCCGTTTACTGCAGCCAAGGCGGCATCCCCTCCCAGCGCGGACGCGTCGCGACCACGTGCGGGCCCGCCGGACTGGGCCCACCCGCGGTGCATCTGCTCTGGGCTGCCGGGTGGTGGAAGGGGCCGGACAACAGGTCCGCGCAGGCGAGGCCCGCAATGAGACGCCGCTGACTGGGGCTCGCGACGCACCATTCGACCCCGGGTGCGCGCCCGTTTGGGCCCGAAGCAGTGGGCGTCTGGCCAGCAGACAGGGGCCCCGGGCGCTCGGCACCAACCAGGCGGGTCTCCCCGAGAGCGCGCGCACATATCAGCACCGCCCTTGTAGCTGCATCGACGACGCGCCGCGCCTGGTCCTGGGTCTGCCTTGCGTAGGCCGGGGGCGCGAGCGGATCGGCTGCGAAATGACAGCCGATGCCATAGCGGCCGCCCGTCCGGACGGAGAGCGGAGCCTCGCCCTTCAGAGCCGCGCTTGCATCGGCGCCTCTGAGGCCCCGGTAGGTGAGGGTCAGGGTTGTCTTCGAGTGCCACCCGCTGCCACTCCTGCTCAGTTGGCTCCCTAAGGGAGACCCTCACGTGAAAGCAAGTCGACCTTTCGCGCCCTAACAGCTCGCGGAGGTAGGTCGTCGGCGGGAGGCGCCGCCGCAAGAGCGCGAGGGGCGCCCGCTCGCGGGCCGGGAACGCGGTGCGAACCACCGCGCGGCTAGGCCCCGGGACCGCGGCCCAAGCTCGGGCCGCTCCACCGGCGGCTGCCGTTGGGCGCCGGGCACCGGGGCTGTGGGCCTGGTTGGCATGGGGTGGCCTGGCTGGTGGGGGGGGGCCCGAGGTCCCTTGTTCCGGAAGACCCGGTTGGTTTGAGAAAACCCGGGGTTTGGTTTGGGAAGACCCGCTTGGTTTGGAGAAACGCGGTTCGTTTGCCGAGACCTGTGGTCTCGGTTCGCCAAGACGCATGCGGTTCGGGCGAAATCAGGCAGAGCGAAGGCGAGAACAAGGCGAGAACGTGAGCGGAAGAAAAACGAAAAGAAAGCGAAACTCAGGCGAGAACGAAGACGGGGACGAGACGGACACGAGCGCGAAACGAGGGCGAAACGAAGGCGAGAGCGATGTTGATAACGAGAACGAGAGCGGAAACGACACGAAGCGAAACGAAGGCGAGACGAAAGCGGGGAACGAGGGCGGACGCAAAGACAGACGAAGACGAAACGATGGCGAGAACGAAGGCGAGAAGCAGGGCGGAAACGAAAGAGACACAGACGAGGCGAGAACGAGGGCGAAAGCGAACGCGAGATCGGAAACGAGGGCGACGCGACACCGAAACGAAGGCGAACGCAAGGGCAGAGCGAGACAGGGACACAAGCGAAACAAAGGCGATAATGAAGACGAGAACAAGGGCGGAACGAACAAATGAATGCGATGACGAAAGTAAACACGAGAGCAGAAACGAAGGCGAAAGGAAAGCGGCACGACGGCGAGAACGAAGGCGAGAACGAGGGCGGGAACGAAAGCGAAACGCAAACGAAACGAAGCAAGAACACATTGAATTTCTCGTTGTGGCGGTCCCCCTGACAGCGTTCGTCCTGGTGTGCCTCCTCCTCGTCCCCCTCCCCTTCCTCGTCCTCCTCCCCCTCCGCCCCCTCCTCCGCCTCCTCCTCCTCCCCCTCCTCCTGGCCTTGTGGCTGGTGGAAGACGTCGTCCTCCACCGTTTGTCCTCGCCGAGCCGCATCCAGGGAAACCTCGGGCGCCGGCCTTCTCCGGCATAACGTGCCCAAGCATGGCCTCGAGAAGCTGTCTGTGCCCGTCGAAACCGTATTCCTGCCCCCTTCGCCGCGCTTCCTTGCGCGCGGATCGGCGCGCGTCGCGCTCGGCTGAAGGGGGCGCCCGCGACAGAAAAAGTGGATGACCGTGAAAGAAAGATGAGAAAGAAGCGCGCGTATAGGAGGATCACGCAGAGCGCGCAGATGGAGAGGGAAGGCAATGAACAATAGCAGCAGGAGGAGCTGTTTTCTTCTGTCCCGTGGCTCTCTGGCCAGCCGTGTAAACACATGCGCACATGCGCATGAGCGCGGCCTGCTGTGCAATGCGGGCCCCGCCGCCGAGCTAGTAAGGAAAGCGCCGAAGCGGCCCATGCTGCGTTGGCGACAGCAACCTCGCAACAACTGGCGTGTTTGTTTCCGAGCAAAGCGTCGAGCTCTCGAGCAACGTGCGCTGATATTGCTGGTAAGGCGAGTCGACCTGCGTGGGCGCGCAGTGGTCCAGAATGTCAACCGGCTGGTCCATGTTGCGCTCGACTCGGCCCGCCACCTGGACGTCCAACTGCCTCCCCGCGCTGCCTTGTCGCGCGCCGCTCGCGGCGCCCGCTCCCACCCCCTCGGCGCGCCCTGGCGGCCCGTCGCCAGTGAGCGGCGCGCGGGCGGCGCCGGCCAGCGCAGCAGATACGGCCCCGCCGTCGAACTTGGCGAGCTGGTCGCCAGCGCCGCCGGCGACAACGTCCAGGGCCAAACCGTCGAAAAGCACTGCGCGAACGTCGCGCAGTTAAACGAGCGGCGCTGACAATGCTGACCCCCCTCGGTTGCCAACGCCACGGAAGCCACCTGCCCCGCGTTCGTGGGTGATTCGCGCGACAGTCCGCGACCGCGAGCCCGCTCGTCGACTGCCTGCTGTTAGCCTGGACTAGCCCTGGAGCCGGTCTGTAGAGGCCCTCCAGGCTGGCTCGTGCCGCAACAAAAACCTAACAGCGAAGATTGATAGGTTTCTAGTAGGGTCAAAAGAGAGCATCATGACGCCCCAGGGGGGTCTGGGCGCGATCCGGGGGAGGGTGCCGGGGATCTTTTCTAACCAACAGTTACGCACTTCGTGGTCTTCGAGTTTCCAGAACTCCATTCCCGGGCCACATTTTGAATGCCCGGAGTCAACTGTAGGCCACTTCGTGTTCTTCGAGTTTCCAAAATTCTATTCTTGGGCATGATTTTGAATGCCCGGAGCCAACTGTAGGCCACTTCGTGTTCTTCGAGTTTCCAGAATTCGATTCTTGGGCATGATTTTGAATGCCCGGAGCCAACTGTAGGCCATTTCGTGTTCTTCGAGTTTCCAGAATTCGATTCTTGGGCATGATTTTGAATGCCCGGAGCCAACCGTAGGCCACTTCGTGTTCTTCGAGTTCCCAGAACTCTATTCCCGGGCCACATTTTGAATGCTGAAGCAGGCTGATGCTGAGGCCGAGGCAGTCTGAGGCTGAGGCAAGCTGAGGCTGAGGCTGAGGCTGAAGGCAGATTGAGGCTGAGGCTGAAGCAGGCTGAGGCTGAGGCTGAGGCAGGCTGAGGCTGAGGCTGAGGCAGGCTGATGCTGAGGCAGGCTGAGGCTGAGGCTGAGGCTGAGGCTGATGCAGGCTGAGGTTGAGGCACGCTGAGGATGAGGCGGAGGCTGAGGCAGGCTGAGGCTGAGGCTGAAGCAGGCTGAGGCTGAGGCAGGCTGATGCTGAGGCAGGCTGAGGCTGAGGCTGAGGCTGATGCAGGCTCAGGCTGAGGCTGAGGCCGAGGCTGAAGGCAGATTGAGGCTGAGGCTGAAGCAGGCTGAGGCTGAGGCAGAGGCAGGCTGAGGTAGGCTGAGGCAGGCCGATGCTGAGGCAGGCTGAGGCTGAGGCTGAGGCTAATGCAGGCTGAGGCTGAGGCCGAGGCTGAAGGCAGACTGAGGCTGAGGCTGAAGCAGGCTCAGGCTGAGGCTGAGGCAGGCTGATGCTGAGGCTGAGGCAGGCTGATGCTGAGGCAGGCTGCGGCTGAGGCTGAGGCAGGCTGAGGCTGAGGCTGATGCAGGCTCAGGCTGAGGCAGGCTGAGGCTGAGGCCGAGGCTGAGGGCATATTGAGGCTGAGGCTGAAGCAGGCTGGGGCTGAGGCAGAGGCAGGCTGAGGCGGGCTGAGGCGGGCCGATGCTGAGGCAGGCTGAGGCTGAGGCTGAGGCTGAAGCAGGCTGAGGCTGAGGCAGAGGCAGGCTGAGGCTGAGGCTGTGGCAGGCTGTTGCTGAGGCAGGCTGAGGCTGAGGCTGAGGCTGAGGCAGGCGGAGGCTGACGCAGGCTGCGGCTGGGGCCGAGGTCGACGGCAGACTGAGGCTGAGGCTGAAGCAGGCTGAGGGTGGGGCTGAGGCAGGCTGAGGCTGAGGCTGAGGCAGGCTGAGGCTGAGGCAGGCTGAGGCTGAGGCTGAGGCTGAGGCTGAGGCTGAGGCCGAGGCAGGCTGAGGCTGGGGCGCGCTGAGGCTGAGGCCGAGGCTGAAGGCAGACTGAGGCTGAGGCTGAAGTAGGCTGAGGCTGAGGCTGAGGCAGGCTGGGGCTGAGGCTGAGGCAGGGTTGTGCTGAGGCAGGCTGAGGCTGAGGCTGAGGCTGATGCAGGCTCAGGCTGAGGCAGGCTGAGGCTGAGGCCGAGGCTGAAGGCAGATTGAGGCTGAGGCTGAAGCAGGCTGAGGCAGAGGCAGGCTGAGGCAGGCTGAGGCAGGCTGAGGCAGGCTGAGGCAGGCCGATGCTGAGGCAGGCTGAGGCTGAGGCTGAGGCTAATGCAGGCTGAGGCTGAGGCCGAGGCTAAAGGCAGACTGAGGCTGAGGCTGAAGCAGGCTGAGGCTGAGGCTGAGGCAGGCTGAGGCTGAGGCTGAGGCAGGCTGATGCTGAGGCAGGCTGATGCTGAGGCTGAGGCTGAGGCAGAGGCTGAGGCAGGCTGAGGCTGAGGCAGGCTGAGGCTGAGGCCGAGGCTGATGCAGGCTGAGGCCGCGGCAGGCTGAGGCTGAGGCCGAGGCTGAAGGCAGACTGAGGCTGAGGCTGAAGCAAGCTGAGGCTGAGGCTGAGGCTGAGGCAGGCTGAGGCTGAGGCTGAGGCAGGCTGAGGCTGAGGCAGGCTGAGGCTGAGGCTGAGGCTGAGGCAGGCTGAGGCTGAGGTTGAGGCTGAGGCTGAGGCCGAGGCTGCAGGCAGACTGAGGCTGAGGCTGAAGCAGGCTGAGGCTAAGGCTGAGGCAGGCTGAGGCTGAGGTTGAGGCTGAGGCAGGCTGAGGCTGAGGCAGGCTGAGGCTGAGGCTGAGGCTGATGCAGGCTGAGGCTGATGCACGCTGAGGCTGAGGCCGAGGTCGACGGCAGACTGAGGCTGAGGCTGAAGCAGGCTGAGGCTGAGGCAGAGGCAGGCTGCGGCTGATGCTGAGGCAGGCTGATGCTGAGGCAGGCTGAGGCTGAGGCTGAGGCTGACTCAGGGTGAGGCTGAGGCAGGCTGGGGCTGAGGCCGAGGCTGAAGGCAGACTGATGTTGAGGCTGAAGCAGGCTGAGGCTGAGGCTGAGGCTGAGGCTGAGGCTGAGGCAGGCTGAGGCTGAGGCTGAGGCAGGCTGAGGCTGAGGCTGTGACTGCGACTGCCGTTGCCACTGCTACTGCCATCGCGAATGCGACTACGACTGCGAGAACATCAGAATTCTACAACAGGATTATCATCTGAATCTTTAGGGGAATGTTTCCGTATATGCTCCTACACATCGCTGTTAGGTTGCTTTGCCGGGATAATTGTTCTTATTCTTCTTTTGCGCTCAGTCGAATCAGACGAACGGTCAGTCGTTTCTTTTCGCGCTCGTACAGCGCGCTCCGGGTCTCGCGCCGGGCGCCCGCGGGGCGCCCACCGCCTGGCCCTGGGGGCGCCGCCCCTCGCAGCTGCTGGCGCTAGCCGCTCCGAGGGTGGATATGCGCGCCGTCAGGAAGTAGTCTTTCACGCCCCATCTTGCCCACGCATCTGCAGCCTCTGCCTGCCGCCCTCCCCGCCCGCAACGGGGGCGGGCAGCGCGGGGCCTACCTCGGGCGGGTGGGCAGGGGGGGCGCGACCACGCAAGACACCCGCCCCCGCCCCCCCCCGCAGCCCACGCGGCGGACGGACAACCGAGGGGGGCCGACAAGCGTCGCCCCAGGGGCACGGCAAAGCAGCTTGGGCTTCAGCCCGCCACGGCTTGGCGGCGCGCACATACCACGTTGGCCGGGAGGGCGCACGGGGGAGGGGGGCGGAGGGGGGGGCGGAGGCGGGGGGTGCGGAGCTGGCCCATCAGCCTGCAGTACTGCAGCGCTCACGTAACCGACGTGCGCAGCACGCGCGCGCGACGGAAGACCATCGGAAAACAGGACTTGCAAGACGTGTTCCGGGGAGGCGCCCTGCATGGGCGGGCCGTCGCGCGCAAGGATGGCACGGTGCGGTGGCGCCCCGCGTGCCCCGCCCCCAGAGAGCGCGGCCGGCAACCCACCCTGGTCAAGCGCGACAAGGGGCCAGCAGCCCGTCATGCGCATGACGGCCCACAGCCGGTAATGCTTCCCAAACTTGGGAGACGACTCCTAACCAAGAAGGTTCCAGTCAGGGAGAGACGGGCCCGGGCAAAACTCAGCGAAAGAACGGCGCAACGCCGGAAACACGCGCGACGCTGCCATCCTGAATGCCTGCCGGTCATGTTCCACGAGTGCTGGGCGCACGACCTGCAAGCGGTGCCGCTCCAGCCGCGCTGGATTGGCACGCGCAGCCTCCAGCTGCTCCGCGGCGCATGCCGGGTGCCGGTCCATTTGCACTGGCGGCGAAGGCAGGCGAAGCCTGGCGCGCGCTGGCAGGCCACGCTCAAGAAACTTCGTGCCCAACCTCAAAGGCCGCCCGCATTGGGCCACGACCGCGCTGTGACGCGCGGGCGGGCCGGCATGACAGCCTAGAACAGCTAGCGGCCCCACTCCACCTGCAAGCGATTCAGAGCCGCTTCAGCCCCCTCGGCCAGGGCCAACAGCGGGGAGGCGTAGATAATGACCGACTCAATGCGGGGAGGGATTTGGTCTGCGGCAGCTGGGATGAAGAAGCCCCCGCACTCCGCCGCCTGCAAAAGTTCGTCAAACAGCGACCTGCCCCTCGCAAGCGCACTCTGCAGCAGCGGCTGGAACGTGCGGCCTGCGCCCGCGAGAACACCCAGAAGTCCTTTCGTGCGCCCCAGCCAACAAGGGCAGGGTGCATCTAAAAGGGGCAGGACTGCCGTCTTTCCCTTTTCGCAGTTGTAGCGGGCACGAACGCGCCGCGCGTATTGGCTGCGCGCCGACTACTCCTCCTCCGACAGAACGGCCCTAACGGCCCCCTCGGGCGGGCGAGGTGTCGCGATGTCATTTACAAGTTGCGGTGACTCCGCGCGGTGAGCCCCCAAACGCTCAGCCACGGCAACTCGGTCAGCCAGCGACGATAGCGAGCCGAGGGCGCCGCGGAGGGGGGGCCTCGCCTGGGGCCACGGCGACTCCTCAGCCTTTTCCAAGCGTGACACCTCCTGCGCGACCCCGTCGAGCTTCAGCTCCCCCCGCGGCGGCCCAGCGCATTGCGCTGGGCGCGTCTACATTCGCGTCCAGGAGCGCTGTCCTAGCATATGGCGGCACAATCGTACTGCACCCTTCCAGGAGCACTTTCGCAATGCCATATGCAAGCCCACGGGGCTGGGTGTGAAAGGCGTGCACGGAAAACCGCGTGCCCTGAGCCGCGCCGCGCAGGAGTGCAAAAACGGGGCTCAGCAGCCCATGCAGGGAAAGGCACTGATGGTTCTGCGCTTTGACGTCGTCCAAAATGAGCCAATCAGGCCCGCGGACACCAGCGTTGTACACACCCGCCAACCTGGCATGGCGGGACGGCGCGTCGAAAGCGCACTTGCCGTCAGCTAGAGCCCACCAAGTGTGGAGGCCCTGCGCGCGCCGCAGCTGAGCGTGCAAGGCGAGGCCAATTACAAGGGTGAGGGCGTCACCGGCCCCCCCCTGCTGGCAAGGCCCGCAATGCGCCTCCAGCGCGCCGCTATTCCGGCCTATCCAGAGAGCGTCCTGCGCCGATGCCATTTCCATAGCAATGGAAATTGGCCGCAGGGCGGAGAGGGCCCGCACTGTGTTTGGGCCGCTCTTGTGCAGGAGGGTGATCTGCCACAGTGACCAGATCTTCGCGGTCACGCAGGCGGCGCGCGCGAGGTTCATCAGGGCCCTGGTCAGCCGCGCGCCCGCTGGTGTCTCCACTCGCAGGGCGGCATAACACCCGTGTGTTGTGCGTTTACCAGGCTTGGGGGCGCTCAGCACAGCGCGCACCTCATCATCCGTGTAAGGCGGCGCTCGGGCTGACGCTCCTGCGAGGGCGCCAGCGCTACATATCATGCACACCTGCAGTGCCGTGGCCTCCTCGGCCCCCGGAGCCTGCTCATTGTCGTTGCGGTCGCGTGCTAAAAGGTCTTGCCTAACAGCCTCAACCCTCGCACTGGGAGAAAGCGCGGCCCCCGTGGACGGGTCCGACAGCTTCGCATCAAAGCGAGTGCGCACTTGGAAAAAGTTAGACAGGAACCTCCCCGCGGCTCCGGGGCCGGCCTCGCGTAGATACAGGTAACGATGGACGGCCCGCCTGCGCTCCCCCCACGCCGCGCGCGCAACCTCAGACTTGAACTCTCGGTGCGAGGAGAGGCGCGATGGGTCCAGCAGCTTGCGCGTAGTAGTCTGCGAGAGGCGTCGTTAACCCCCTATCACCGTAGTGGCGCCCGCAGCGTGTCCCACCATGGGGTAGGTGGCCCCTCGAGCCCAAGCCGCCGCGTTGACCGCGGCGCGCCTTTGCACTCTGCTGGCCCTGCCTCCGAACCTCGGCGGCTGAAGCCAAGGTGCGCTCGAAATTGCTTCCACGCTCTCGCTCGGCGCATTGAAGGTCCTGGAGACTCCCCTCAGGCCCTCGCCCCACTCAGGACTGGGCGTGCAGGCAACCCTGCCAAGGCCCGCCGCCCACGGGGCTGTGAACAGGCAGGGCGCCTCAGACATGACGAGACGGTGGTCGGAGAGCGCAATAAAATCTGGCAGGGCCTTGACAGGGAGGGGCGACTCTCTCAGACCAATAGAAGGTCGATGCAGGTGCCGGACACATGCGTTGGCGCGGGAGGGTTGGATGCCCCAAGCCCTGCCGCGAGGGATGCCCCAAGCCCTGCCGCGAGGAGCCACCGCTGGATCCCCTTGTCTGCAGAGGATTGCTTGCAGTGGGCGCGGCGACACGGGGCCGCATGGTCAACGAGATAATCCACATGGACATTAGCATCTCCCCCGAAAGCAAGACGCGCCTGCGGATGCCGATGCCAGCAGACAGTTGCATGCGCCACGATTGACGTCTAGGTGTCTGTGTTCCCGCCGTGTTTCGGGTTGAACGCGCGCAGGATGATTGCAGGACTAAGCGAGGCCCCACCGCCCCAAACCGCGAACCACTGTTCCCAGTTCGAGGAAAAGTCCGGCGCAGGGCGCAGGTCTCAGGCCGCGTTTTTCTTCCCAGCAGCGCCGCATTTCGTCTTGGCCTCGGCTCACCCGAGGAGTGCGCCTTGTCTGAGGTATCGTGGGAGAGAGTGATGCCGCTTACATGTTATGCCTTTCATATCTTCCATAATCTTCGTGCTGACTTAGCGTGCCAGCCACGCATGTTCGGTCAGTATAGCATTGCTATTCAGGCCCGGCGTTCAGCTCTGCTCGCTAGCCAAGCAGCCGACGACATCCCGATATCGAACCGTTCCTTTCGACCTCGGCGACCTGCGAATCCTGATGCAGGTGACAGGCTGAGCGTCCCTTCTAATTCCAATCAGGCTTAGCGTTGCTGCATGACTCGTCCACCTTGGGTACGTGGGCTCCTCCTCCTCTTCGTTTTACAGATATGTGTTGTATCCTTATGAGTCCACGAGATTTACCAGAACCTAGGCTTACGCTCTTCGTCGCCAAGTTCGCCAAAGCCTGCGACGAAGCCTGGGAGGGCGACGTGCAGAAGAAGCCCTGGAGCTAGAGAAAGGTGACGCATTTGCGCCTGCTGGGCCAGGGCGGCTCGGGGAAAACGCACGTGGTGCAGAAGATCGTCTCCCCGGTCGTGGAGTATTTTTGGCCGTCGCCGGCGCTGGACAGGGCCAGAGGGATGGTCGTTGCCTTCTCGAACGCGCAGGCGAAGAAAATCTCCGCGGAGACTGTCAAGGCCAGAGCGCTGCACAATGCCTGTGCCATGCGAGCCCAGAAATACATCAACGCGAAGCTGCGGCCGGGGGGCATGCAGAAGAGGTTGAAGTGCTTGTGGGAGCACGTCCGCGTTCTTGCCATCGAGGAGATAAGCATGGTGGCAGCCGCGCTGTGCAACGCGCTGGACCTTCGCGCGTGCCACGGACGCAGTGACACGCGCGACGTGCAGGAGTCCACCTACAAGCGGCCGCGCCACCACCTTGGGCGCGCCCCCATCGCGTTGCACCTCGGCGACTTCCTGCAGCTGAAGCCCACCGGCAGCATTGGCCTCCTGACGGACCCGAACGAGTGCCTGGACGACGACGGGCCGTACGAGTACGCGGACCCGCCGACGGTGGAGATTCAGCGCGCCGCCGAGGTCTTCTCTCAGATCCCCTGCGCCTTCGAGCTGAATGGCGCGAAGCGCTTCGAGCCAGGGGGCCCTCTGATCACGCTCCCGAGCTGCATGCCCGTGGGCGAGCCCTTCCCGCCGGAGGTCTGGCCTGCTTTGGAGAAGACGTTGTCCTCGGACAACCACGGCGTCCTGGGCCCTCGGGGCCAGCGCGAGAACCTTCGGCTCGGCTACGGCATGGGCATATACTGGGAGACCCTGGCAAGGTGGATCAGCGCGCGCGCTCGCCCCGACGCGCGGCGCCTGGGCGTGCCCTTCGTTCTCTTGCAGGCCGTGGGCGAGTGCAGCTCGATGCAGGGCGATCCCGACGCGGGTCGGCGCCTCGTGGACGTCCCGAACATGCGCAAGACTGGGGGCACCCGCGGCGTCTTGCCGGCCCACGTCGGCATGGAGGTGCGGTTCGCGGCCGCGCGGGAAGAGCTGCAGAAGAAGTTGGGGCTCGTGCGGAATCGACGGGCCACCGTCGTGTCCTTCGGGCTCCACCGCGAGGACGAGCAGCGGGGCGAGGAGTGCTCGGCAGGCCAGCTCTTTCGCCCCCGCTTCCTACCGCAGAGGATCTGGCTGCAGGTGCACGGCTTCAAGGAGCCCCCGATCTACCAGGAGGTCTCCGAGGTGCTGCGACAGGGCGCCGAAGACGCCGACGACGACGGCCAGGCCGAGGCGCGGGCGCGGAGCTTGTTGATGTTCAGGCCCAGCGAGCATGAGTTCAAGTGGCAGAGCTCGGGGCCGCGCACCGTGCGCCGCTCGGGGTTCACCCTGGCGCGCGCGCCCTACCTGACCTCCGCGCTGTCGCAGGGGCAGACGCTGCGCAAGGGCGTCACCATCGACAGCGCGAGAGACGAGGACGCTGGCCGCACGGGCATGTCGGACGAGCAGCGGTGGCTGCACCTCTACGCCATGTTCCCCCGCGCCACGTGCATGCGGAACGTGCTGATCCTGCGACCGCCGCCGCGAGAGCTCCTGGGGCGAGGGCCTCCAGCGCCCTTGTGGAAGGCGCTCGAGGAATTCGACAAGAGTTCAGATTGGTCCCGGGCGGAGGCGGAGCAGCTCGCGGCAGAGCTGAGCTTCGTGCTGCCTCCCGCCTGAGCGCGGCTGCGCCCCGCTCGAAGCCCGCGGGGTTGTCCCAGCGGCTTGGTCTTGCGCGCCAGCGGGTCGCGCGGTTGCCCCGACGTCCTGGTCCGCGGGTTTGTCCCGACGGCTGCGAGACATGGCAATTAGCGAACGCGCCCGTGCTGGCCGAGGCGGCGACGGCGCCGAAGAGAATCGACATGCGCGCTCATGCAACAGCAAAGGGAGAGGTGACGGGGCGCGGAAAATCAGGAGGGCGATGATGGGGGAAACGTAGGGAGCGGGAGGAGGGCCTGCGCCAGGGCGAAAAGCAATATACGCAGGAAAGACTGTAATGATGCCGCACCTATCAAGAGGCCGACGGTGAGGGCTTTTTCCAGATGGGCCGAGAGGATTCTCATGTGGGGTCTTTCCGTCGGAGTAATTTCAGGACGACACATGCGAAGGCGCTGGTTTGGAATTCGTCGACAGATTCGTTGGATTTCCCAGATCTCGTCGATGAGGGCCAGTTTGGGGAGGATCCAGGGCCGGTTTTTGCTGAGGACGTCCCATGCCAGTTCGTCGGTTTGGAATTCGTCGCCAGATTCGCCGGATTTCCCGGATCTCGCCGGAGACGGAAACGGGGAGCCTCTGAGGGCTTCCTTGGGGAGGCTTTGGGCGCCGTTTTTTTGAGGATGTCCCACGCGAGAATGCCGGTGTGGAATTCGTCGCCGGATTCGTTGGATTCTCCCGATTTCGCCGGAAACGGAACAGGGGGCCCAGGGATCTCCAAGGGCCTCTTCGGGGAGGCTCCATGCTCCAGGGGCCGGTTTTTCCGAGGGCGCCAGTTTGGAATTCTTTGCCGGTTTTTCTGAAGATGTCCCACGCGAGGGCGCAGGTTTGGAATTCGTCGCCGGATTTGCTGGATTCGCCCGATTCGGCAGATTTCAAGGATCTCGCCTGAAACGGAACAGGAGGGCCTCTGAAAGCCTCGTTGGGGAGGCTTCCCAGGCCGGTTTTTCTGAGGATGTCCCACGTGAGTGCGTCGGTTTGGAATTCTTCGCCGGATTTGCCGGATGCGCCGGATTTCGCTGGATTTCCCAGATGTCGGCTGAAACGGAAAAGCTTCTGAGAGCCTCGTTGGGGAAGCGCTGGGGGCCGGTTCTTCCGAGGATGTCCCACGCGAGGGCGCCAGTTTGGAATTCGTCGCCGGATTTGCTGGATTCGCCCGATTCGCCAGATTTCAGGGATCTCGCCTAAAACGGAACAGGAGGGCCTCTGAGAGCCTCGTCCGGATTTTCTGAGCATGTCCCACGTGAGGGCGTCGGTTTGGAATTCGTCGCCGGATTCGCCGGATTCGCTGGATTCCCCAGATCACGCCTGAAACAGAACAGGAGGGCCTGTGAGAGCTTCGTTTCAGAGGCTCCCCAGGCTTGTTTTTCTGAAGATGTCCCACGCGAGGGCGTTGGTTTCGAATTCGTCGCCGGATTCGCCTGATTGGCAGGATTTCGCCGGATATTTTGGAGCTCGCCTCAAACGGAACAGGGGGGCGGTCGGCGGGGCCATTGCCGCGCGCGCCGCGGCCCCGGTCAGGATGACGTGAGTTTCACAGAAACTTCTTCAAATTATCGCAAACTCGCTGGTCTTTTTACGAGGCGCACGACAGACACTAACACGTGGGCGGAAGAGGATAATAAAGAGGTCGATGAGGAGGATTGCGAGGAATATGGTGGTGAGGAAGAGGGTGATGAAGAACACGTGGCAGAATGGGATGTGCATCGAACCTAGCGGTCGATCCAAAGGAAGCGCATCGAACCCAGCGAGGGCCAGAATGTGTAGGCGAAGTTAGCGCAGCAGCGGGGCATGGTATCCAGGCGATACTCTACGAGCGTATTGGGCAGCACACCTTGCAGAACGCCTTGGCAGGCTGCTGCTGTGATCTCTTTTTGGGTTGCTTCCTTTTTCTCGGTACATGCATACGTATGTATGTATGTATATATGTATGTATGTATGTATGTATGTATGTATGTATGTATCTATGTATGTATGTATGTATGTATGCATGCATGCATGCATGCATGTATGTATGTATGTATGTATGTATGTGTGTGTGTATGTGTGTGTATGTATGTATGTATGTATGTATGTATGTATGTATGTATCTATGTATGTATGTATGTATGTATGTATGTATGTCGGTATGTCTGTATGTATGTATATTTATATATATGTATATGCCAAGATGTGCAACAACATCTTCCCTATACTATCACATGTGTAGGTCTGTGTGTATATCTATATAGTTTCGCTCTCCCTCTCCCTCTCCCTCTCCCCTTCCTCTCTCTCTTTCCTTCGCTCTCTCTCTCTCTCTTTCTCTTCGTGCCTGTGTCTATTTATCATTATTTGGTTTTCAAATCTTTCTCTCACCCTCTCTTTTTCTATTCATATGTCGTTTTGTATTGTCTCAATCGTTTTCTTCCTAGTTGAGGAAGGAAGAAAACGATTGAGACAAATTCAAACAGGAAACAACACGGTTTCTTCCTATGTATATATGTCTCTTGGCGTATGAATGTCTTTGTCATGCAAACATCTATCGAGGACACTGGCGGCGAATCGCCCGCCGCTCCCACGTTATTTGACGCACGTGAGTACGCAGAGTTTCAACTCTGTACGTCGTACTGCTTCTGCGATTCATAGCGCTTGGCCAGTGCTGGGGCAGGTTGGTCGCCCCTCGATGGCCTCGCACGTAGTGGGACATATCTTGGATACGCATGGCGGGCCTCTTGAAGGCGTCGTGTTTCTTGTGCCGAGACGGCGCGGCCCGCCGGCTATTTGAACGAGTTAGCTGCCGCGCTCGTTGCTGACAGAAAAGTCTTGCACCGAAACTTGAGCGCCTCTTGAGGGTCCCGAGGTGCGTTTCGGGAGCGTGTAGGGGATACTGGTGGCTGTCTTCGCAAGCCTCGCGAGGCAATATGGGGGGGCGGGGGGGCGTCTTGACGGCAGGCGGTCATCTTGGGGCTCTGTTGGGTCTCTCTTCGGGCCGCGTGGGGCTCTCTTGGGCCACCTTTGGGCCCTCCTGGGCCGTCAAATGTGCTCTCGGCTTTGGCTCTCCTGGGCTGGCGTCTTCGGGGGCCGTCTTGGAGACCTCCTGAGTGTCTTTAGGGCCGTCCTGGGGCTCTCTTGGGCCATCGTGGGGTCATCTTGGGGCCGTTTGGGAGCCTATTGGGCCGTCTTGGGGCGATCTTGGGGGCATCTTGGGCTGCCCTGGCTTGGAAGCCCGAAGAGGGGAGAGCGCATGAGGGAAATCACATTATATATATATATATATATATATATATATATATATACACCCTGTGGGCCCCATTCCGGAGGTCCTCTTGGAGCCCTCTTGGGCCATTTTGGGGGCCTCCTGGGCCGTCTCGAGACCATGTTGGGCCGCCTTGGGGCCACAATGGGCCGTCTTGGGAGCGCCTTGGGGCCACCTTGGGCTTTTTTTGGGGGCAACCTCGGCCGTCCTGGGAGCGTCCACGGGGCCGTCTCGAGGGCCATCTTGGGCGGCGCAGCCACTGAGCCCTGCCTTTGGTCGTCCTCTCCGGGTGGCCGCCGTGCTGGGGCCGAGGGCCCCGGCGCGCCCAGCGCGCGGCCGGCCCGATGCTGTCGCTGCGCGTGCGTTGAAGTCGGATGCTGGGCCGGAGGCCACCAGGAGCCTCGGGGAAGGAGCAAGCATAGCAAAATAGATAAGGTGGAGGCGTTTGTTAAGGAATAGGGGGCCACATGCGAACCCTACCCCTACCCCCCACGATTTTTCACGGGGAGGGTGGGGTTCACTTCGCTCGGGAGCTCCCGAACGAAGTGACCCCCCCCCCCTCCCCCTCAGAAACCGTGCGGGGCAGGGGTAGGGTTCGCATGTGGCCCCCTAAAGGAGCAAGCGTAGCAAAATAGATGAGGTGGGGGCGTTTGTTGAGGAATGGTCCCTGGGGTCGCCAGGCCCTGGAGGATTCCTTATATCCAGTGAGGGCGGCGGTGGTATCCGTGGCGGATCCAGGATTGGAGCTCCAGTGGCTTCCAGACCCTGGGCCAGGGATCGCAAAACGCATCGAAAACGGCGAGACGGCAATCCCAAAACGGGAAAAAACGGAACAACGTCGATCTCGAAATCGAACAAACAAAAAAACGGCCCCAGCGTTTTTAAGAACATCTAAGACCCTGGCTTCCTGATCGAAGGGTTCCTTGTCCAATGCCCACACGGTAGTCGGGCACGCCAGCGCCCCTGCAACAGGCCATGGGGGCGGCGGATGGCAGACGCCTGCGGCGGATCACTGCGCCTCCTTCCTCTTGGAAGCGCCTTTGTGGCCAAACGTTGGACCAACATCTGTCCAAGCTATTGGACTATGTATTCCCCCAGCCGTCGTGGAAGCCCTTGGGGGAGCAAGGATCAGAAGGAGGAGGAGGAAGAGGAGGAGGAAGAGGAGGAGGAGGAGGTCACTGCGGGCTCTCTTGGGGCCTCGTGGTGGCTCCGCGGAGGTCTCCGAGGGGCCTCTAGGGGGCCTCCTGGGGCCTCTTAGGGTCCACTTGAGGGTGCCCTGGGGGCCTCTTGGATGCCTCTTGGGCCGTCTTATGGCCCACTTGGCTCGTGTGACGCCGTCGTGTTCCGTCTTTGGGGCCTGTCTGGGCTCTCTTGGGGCGCCTCGGGGCAGTCTTGGGGGTCTCCTGGGCCGTCTTGGGCCGTCTTAGAGGGCCTTTTGGCCGTTTTGGGGGCCCCCTTTGGGGCCACTTGGCCCGTCTTGGTTGGCCTCTTGGGCCGTCTTGGGGCTCCCGTGGAGGCCTCTTGGGCCGTCTTGGGGCCATCGCGGGGCCATTGCGGGGCCGTCTTGGGCTGTCGGAAGCCCGAGCAGGCACTGACGCTAAAAGCTTGTAGAGCTTTGTCAGATTAGCGAGATTTTGGTCTCTTCGGGCTCTCCTGGGGGTTCTCTCTTGGGGGCCTCTTGGACCGTTTTGGCGGCGGCTTCGGAGTCACCTCGAGCCGTCTTAGGCGATCTCGGAGGTATTTCGGGGTCGCCTTGACCGTCTGAGAGGTATCTTGTGGCCACGTTGGCCGTCCAGAGGCCGTTTTGGAGCAACCTTGAGCGGGAAAGCCGATGGGAGATATTTCGAGCGGTTTCTGGGTGGCCAGCGAGCGGGTTGGGCCAGAGGCCATTGGAAACCTTTTGGAACGGTCGAAACGTGCTAAACCTCAACACGCCAAACACATGTTTGCAAGCAAAGGGGGCATCGGATCTGCTGGCGGCCTATTCCGCCACCGTGCCAGGATTGTGGGTGTGGGCGAGCGGGCCTCGTGGATGCTTCTCGGGGCCTCTTGGGAAGCCTCTTTGGGGCGTCTCGGGGTGCAGTCGGTCTCGGGTGACATCTTGGGCTCCAAACGTCAGTTCGAATCGGCCCCTCTACTGGGTCTCTGAGGCCTCTTTCGGGGGCTTCGGGGAGGTCCTGTGGCGATCGTGGCGGCGTCCTACAACGAGTTTGCAGTATCATGCAGCAACATATTTGTTTAGAGTAAGTTCGGCCTCGTGGCTTGGGCTTCCTGCCTTCAACACTGCCCAAGAGGCCTCCAGAGAGCTGCAGCACGATCCTGAGGGGCCATCTCGGGATGTGTGGGATGCGTGAGTTGCGGCCCGCGCTCCCGGGGCTTCCAGAACAGGCGCGCCGCGAGCCCCAAGAGCACCCGGGGGCGCCAAGGGATTCCGGTAGTCTGGTGCCTCGGGCTTGGCGCATATTCACCGTGTTTTAGGAATTCCAGTGGTGCATCTCTGTCGCCTCCGGGGGGGAATATGACCGGAGCCCGTTTGGGGTGACGTTAACCCGGCCGGCGTTTTTTAGATTTGCCTTATATCGAGTTCGAGCCTTCATCCAGTGGGTGCGGTTGGAAAATTGTTGAGGGCTGTCAGGGGCACGGTGGCGGGCAAAAAGGGCCCTCTTGGGCCCAATTCGTGATTCTGCTCCCAGCGTTTGCCATGCCGCGGCGCTGTGCTGAGCCGAGCCGCGCAGCGTCGTGGCTTGGTGTCCGCGTGTGCCGTACCGTGCCGTACCTGCGGAGGAGGAGAAGCAGGAGGAGGAGGCTGGGAAGCAGGAGGAGGAGTTTGCCTTTGGGCTCAGGGTTCAACGGCACCATCTTCGCCTACGGCCAGACTGGCAGCGGGAAGAGCTTCAGCATGCTGGGCCCAGACCACGACCCGGGCGTCATCCCGCGGTTGACCAGGGAGCTGTTTGGTACAGGGAGGGTGGTGGGGGAGGGGAAGGGGAAAGGCGGAAGGGGGAAGGGAAGGGGAGGGGAAGAGGGGCAGCTGAGGGGAGTCACCGTTCCTGCTCTGCTCGCTCCTCCAGGGACGCGCGCCGTTCCCGACCCCTGGCCGATTCCATGACCTGCCCTGCCGCTCTCCAGACTCTATTGAATGCCGGCCGCGGGCTTCCAGGGAATATGGGAATGTCTGCAAAAACCACGTAGTCGAAGAACAACAGCAATGATACTGACGGGAAGATGAAGATGACAACGACTATGCGAAGACGCAGGATAAGACGAATGCGACGAGTAAGTACGGGTATCGTAGCAACAAGGCTACTACTGCGAATAAGGATGCTACGATGACGGAGCATGATAAGGTGGAAATCCACGCGGAGACGACGAACGTGCGCCACGAAGAGGGGGACGAACGAGGCGAAGTACGCTTGGCCATCGAACGTTGCATCGGAGGAGGAGGAGAAGGACGAGGAGGGAGGAGGAGAGGAGGAGGAGGAGGAGGAGGAGGAGGAGAAGGACGAGGAGGAGGAGGAGGAGGAGAGGAGGAGGAGGAGGAGGAGGAGGAGGAGAGAGGAGGAGGAGGAGGAGGAGGAGCAGGCTGCCAGCCCACGCCCCGCCGGGGCAGGGCCCGCCCCACCCCTGGCCCCAGCTGGGCGGGGCGCCCAGGGCCGCGCGCCCGGCCGCCCACGCCCCGCGGGGAGCGCCCGCGCGATGCCGCAGCGCTGCGCGGCGCTCGCCCGCGCCGCGTGCTCGCGCCGCGGCCAGGGGAGCGCGTGGCGGTGGCGGGGCTTCCCCCCCCTCTCCGCCCCCCCTCCCTCCCCCTCCCTCTCCTCCCCTCCTCCTCCTCCTCCTCCTCCTCCTCCTCCTCTCCTCCTCCTCCTCCTCCTCCCTCGTGCGGGCGGGCGGCAGGGCGCTCCGCGGCTTTGGACGCCCCCCCTCCCTCCCCCTCCTTCTTCCCTCCTCCTCCCCTCCCCTCAGGCACGCCTGTCAATACTGCATCCAATTCTCCTTCTTCTTCGCCGCCAGCGCTGCTCGCCACGGCGGGCCCCCCCTCTCCGCCCCCCTCCCCTCGGGGGCGGAAGAGGGGGTGGTGCTGGCTAGGAGGGGGGTGGACATCCTGGCGGGGGGCATGATATTTCCTCATATTTTATGGCGCCTCTTCTTGTTTCATTGCGTCCCTGGCCCCCCCGCTGGGCCGCGCACATGCCGCCAGTCATGATTTGCACCCCCCCTCTTGGACACCCCCCTCTTGGCCGCTCCCGACTCCCGCTTCCCCCTGCCCTCCGCGGAATGTGGCACCTTCGCCTGGCCCGGCGAGGATGTGCACTTCAATGCTGCGATGCGGCGGATGACGCGGTGGAGCGCTACATCGAGTGCCCCGTGTGGCGTTCTTGCTTGCGCTCCCGACTTGGGGACGCGCTTGCGGGGCACAACTTGGAACACGCTATGCTTGCAACGGTCTTGGACGACACGGCTCTTCGCTTGCAGGCCGTGGCGACGTACGTGTTGTATCGTTCCGTTCACGATGTGCGCCGGCTCACGGACAGTGCTGGCCCGGCACTGAGGCAGTCTCGTAAGCCACTACATGGACCAACTGCTGCACGAGGTCACGCGCGACGACGGGACGCGAGTCAGTGTTGCCGCATGGAGGCGGGGGGGCAACGCCAGGCGACGTCGACGAGACGATGACGGTGTTACTGCTCGCAGGGTGGCCGCGCGACAACGTTGAACTGCCTCTGGCTTTGACACCTTGTTCCTCTTTCCCGCAACAGCCTCTTGTCGGATTCCGACGCCTACGCCTCCGTCTACGATTCCATTTTCTACGTTGCCTACGTCGCCTCCGTCTGCGACGACGCTTCCATAGCATGCGACTCTGCACCTCCACATCCACCTGCCGACCTCCTGCGCCCACCAGCTCAGCATTCCAACCTAAAACCTCTAACATCGGACTCTCCACTTCCACCTCCACCAGCCGATCTCCTGCGCCCTCCAACCACTAGCATACGATTCTCCACTTCCACCTCCACCAATCGACCTCCAGCGCCCATCAGTTCAGCATCCCGACCTCCAACCTCTTGCCTCCGGCTGTCTACTTCCACCTCCACCAGTCGACCTCTGACGAACGCCACCTCAGCATTCCGACCCCCAACCTCTAGCGTCACACTCTCCACTTCCACCTCCACCATTTGGCCTCCAACGTCCACCAGCTGTCCTCTCCGACCGCCATTCTTTTGCATGTGACTCTCCACTTCCACCTCCACCGCTTTCGAATCTTTTCGCCTCCGAGACTGGAGCACAGTACAAGAGATGGGGCGGTGATATCCGTTGGGTTATCTGGGGATCCGCTGGAGACCACGATTCTGACGAGACGCCCCGATGCCAGCATCTCGACAACGATGGGTGGCACCCACTTCGATCACCAGCAACTCCAAGGGGGTACTGGCCACCGCACGTTCGAGGCGCGTCCGGAGGACCAGCGGCGCGACGCGTTGTAGCTCACGCTGATTCGGATCGACATGGAGCCCCTCCAGGTCGTGGTCGAACACTTCATGTTGCAGCTCTGGCCGACGCGGGTCGTCCAGGAGCATGTCCGGGACGTTGTCGCGAGGTTCACGCTGCAGTTTTTTATGACTTGGGTTGCCTTGGAGCGTCTCCGGGGCATAGTCGAGAATTTCGCGCTGCAGCGCACGCTGCATCGGGTCGCCCTTTTCTCTGGCCGGGCCGCCGCTGAGAACTACACGTTGCAATACATGATGGTTCACGCTGGCGCAAGACAGCGTGAAATGGAGAAGCTTAGAGAGAGCGTTTCTACAGCATTGCGATCTCAATCCTCAGCAAGTGCAGCAGCATTCCGACCTCTAGCCTGCAGCATCCATCTTTCCACCTCCGCCTCCACCTATCGACTTCCAAACTCCACCAGCTCAACGCCACAACCTCCAGCATCCGACATCCAACTCTTCACCTCCACCTCCACCTCCACCTATCGACTTTCAACTTCCACCAGATCAGCACCCTGACCTTCAGCATTCATCATCGAACTTTCCACCTCCACCTCCACCCATCGACCTACCGACCTATCGACCTCCAAGGCCTACAAGCGCAGCATTCCGACATCCAACATCCAACTTACCACCTCCACCTCCACCTACCGACCTCCAGCGCCCACCAGCACAGCATTCCGACCTCCAGCATCCAGCCTTCCACCTCCACCTCCACCTATCGACTCGTGTTTGGTTCTGGACGCCTGTTTGGACAGGATCTGGACCACTACCCTGGAGTGCCAGTGGCACCGACATGTCAATGCTATTTGGGTCACCTGACCGACCCACTGAGAGCCAGCGCTGGTTTGGACCATAGCACAAGCTCGTATCTCCAGCTGTTTAGGTTGTATTGGATTACTTGGTGTGGGATTCGGGATCCTATGGAGAGGGAGTCTGGTGCAAACCATCGTGTCTATTCCACGGCTTGCGTTACATTGTGCTATGTGTGAAGGTTCTGGATGATACGAAGTGGGGGGAGAAATACATCATTCCCCTGCTGCTGTCTACTGCTACATGGTGCATAAATGCTGACACGCACAGCCCGTCCAGACTGTTACGCGGGCCACAGGATTTTCCAAGCGACTGACATGCTCATGCGCGTGCTACACACTCGGGAGTGCGCATGGTAACAAATCCTCTGGTGCAGTCGCACACAGAACGGCAAACCTTCAGATGATGTGAACCATGATGGTAAGAAATCGACCTCCGCCCACCAGCTCAGCATTCCGACCTCCAGCATCCAACTTTCCACCTCCACCTGTCGACTCTCAACCTCTAGCCACCAACATCCATCCCACCTCAACCTCTACCTGTCGACTTCAGCGTCCACCAAGCAGCCTTGATTCGAGTTTGTGGCGCCGACGGAGGCGGACAACTCGTGCCCCCCCTGGGCGAACGCGGGAAAAGAGCCAGGCTTTGTTGGGGCCACTTTGGGCCTACATGGCAACGGCGGCTGCGGCTACTACAGTGGGCAGTGCGGCATCAGCATCGACCCCAGCACCAAACCCATCAGCATTACTGCGCCGACAGCAGCATCGGCACTGGCATCGACACCCCGCGAGATGCAGCTCACCGACTCCCGCATTGCCCAGCTTGGCGGCTTCCGCACCGACCAGATCGTAGACTCCTGCACCGACCAGCTCGCCGACTCCTGCGCCGACCGGCTCCGACTCCCGCGCCGACCAGCTCGCCGACTCCAGCGCCGACCAGCCCACCGACGCCTGCGCCGATTGGCTCGCCGACTACCGAGCCGACCAGATCACCGACTCCCGGGCCGAGTGATTCCCTGGGTGGTGTTCTACGGGTGGTGATGGGGCCACTCACAGGGACAGCATCCACATGGCCAGCGGCATCTCTGTCTGAAGCCCGTGCTCTAGATTGAAGCTGCCACTGCCGGCTGATTCATTTCCTTCCCCTCCTCTTTTTCTCTTTCTTGTGCGGTGTTGTGTTTCTCCGTCCCTGTTCTCAGGCCGCGGGCTTGTGTTTTCCGCCGCCCCTAGGGTTTCTAGGCCACACCTGGGCGCTAGTGCGCCCTGCTGGAAGATATACGCTTTTTCCTTCCTTTTACAGGCGGCAACTTTCGTAGCTGTTGGCCTGCACGTGTACTGTTTAATCTAACTGCTCACTCACATGCACGCGGAGCCTCTTAGGGCTGAGAGCGTGCTGTCCTCTCTCTCTCTCTCCATCTCTCCTTCCCCCTGTTCTACCTCCCTTTCCTTCTTCTCCTCTCCCTTTTGACGTGCCGGACTATCCTCGATTTGTGGCCATGTCTTGTTACTCCTTCTTCTGGCGCTGATCGGGTAATCCGCAGCGCAGCATCCGCCGCCGCAGGTAGTTCGCTCTGCAGTCAGGCTGGCGTCGGGGCAGCGTGCCAGGCCCTGTGGGCTGGACGTGGTCGCTCTTCCTCCCCCTTTCGCGCCGTGCCCGCTTGCCCTCCTGTCCCTCTTCCGCTTCGTCTTCCCAGGCGGGTGAAGTCACAGAAACAAAACTCCTGCTTCCCCCTCCCCTCTCCCCTTCCCCGCCCCCCTCCCTCTGCCTTCCCCGCCCCGCCCCACTGCCTCCCTATTCTGTCCCCGCCCCACCCCTTTTCCCGTCTCCCCCCCTCCCCTCTCCCCTTCCCCGCCCCCCGCCCCCCCCTCCCTCTGCCTTCCCCGCCCCGCCCCACCGCCTCCCTACTCTGTCCCCGCCCCACCCCTTTGCCCGTCTCCCCCTCTCCCGCGCGCTGCTGCCCCGCCTCTCCCGTCTCTCCCTCCTGCCTCCCCCGCCTTCCCGCCGCCCCTGCCGCTGCTGCCCTGGTGCTTTTTTTCTTCCCAGGAGCAGGGAAATTCGAGGCTCGTTTCGGGGACCTTCCTGGGGCCCACCTAACGCACCTGTTCGACGCAGGTTCGGCTCAAGTTCGACTCGGGTTCGACTCCAATTTGACTCAGATTCGACAGGTTCGATGCAGGCTCGACGCAGGTTCGACTCAGGTTCGGCCCAGGTTCGACAGAGCTTCGACACACGAGTGGAGCGAGTGGCTCCAGGAAGGTCCCCAGAATGAGCATCGAAGGGAAAGGGAAGGGAGGAATGGAGGGACGGAGGCGGGAAGATCCAGAAGGGGAGTCAGAAAGGCATGGGGGCGAGGGGGTGGGGAAAGGAGGGAGCGAGCGAACGAGAGGCATGCTCCCAAAGGGCGCCGGGGTGGGATGGAGAGAGGAAGGGAGGGAGGGAGGGAGAGATAGAGAGAGTTTTCTTTCATTTGTCACCACGGCCCCTGTGGCACTCTGAATAGAGCACTCGTTGATGAAGGACCCAAGGACGTAGGAGGCACTACCAGTACATGGCCAGCCCTCCGTGCCGTGCAGGTCTCCAGAATACGTTTAATGACAAGTTGCTGAACCCGGAGCCCACCACGAATCAAGTGACACATACCCTCACCCGGAACGCCCTTGAATCTACATGTAGTAGGATGTTACCAGAACAATGTCGTACCAGTGAGGGGCGAGCAATTCTTAGGCGGCCGCCAATACCAGAATTGGTTTGAGAGACCATGCGCTGACAAACATACACAACCCACCAGAAATTTGCTCCCCGCCTTCAGCACATAGTGAATCGCCAGCCCTCTCCGGGGTCGGGCGGCAGTCCGCGAGGCTCCCACAGCACGTGGCACGCACCCCAAGCAACGCCATCCTTTTCCTCCGCGCTGTCGGCGACGATGGGGTCGGCGCCGCCGCTGGCAAGGCTGTCGGTCGATACCCCGTCGCCGAGCGCATCGTCCTGCGCAACCACATGGTGCGCACCACCAGGACGTACGGGTTCCAGCACTGGCCCCGCGGTGTCGACGTCGGTCATGTCGAGCGCCTCCGCCGCCACGATGATGCCGCCGTCCACAGATGGTTGGTCCACGACGCGGGCGACGCTGAGGAGCGTGGAGAAGCAGACCGCCGTGCCGCACGTGCATCGGAGGCCTTCGAAGACGGGGCTGCTGTCGAACGGAACCTGGCGACCTGCCCCAAAAAGCTCGGCCGCCTCCGAACGCAGGCAAGCGCCGCTAGCACCGACAGCAGCGGCTTCGCACACGGCGCGAATCGCGGGGTCCGCCTCGCCCGAAAGCCTCGCCCTGCCCGCGCGCTGGAGCCTGTTGAGCTCCTTGGGAGAAGCACTTATGATGACCTCGCAGGTGGATTGAAGTTGTGCGAGGCCAAGTTGCGCATGACAACGTATTGCGCAACGAACTTGACGAACTTGCGTTTCGCAGGCGACCCGCTCACGAACTTGCGTTTCGCAGACGACGTATTGCTTGTCGCTTTGAGCAGGGTGGACGTCGAAAACATGATACCGGACCTGCAGGCAGAAGCCAAGAAGTATGGACTGAAAGTCCATATGGGCAAGACGCAGGTGCTCACTAACAGTTCTGGGCATTTACCTGAGAAAGTGCGTGTTGCTAGTGAGGACGTCGACGTGGTTTCCACCGCGAGCGCGGAGCGCTACCTGGGATGGCAGCTGTGCGTGGGGAGTCTCCACGAAACGGAATTTTCGATCAGAGTGAACGCTGCTTGGAGGTGTTTCGCAAAGTTCAATGACATATGGTGTTCCCGATCATTTCCGTTGCGCTCAAGACTGAGACTTTTCATGCGGTTGTTACCCCAGCTGCCTTGTACGCTTGCGAATGTTGGACGATGAATTCGACCTCCAGCATTCGGTTCCGGACGGCGTGGAGGCAAAATGACGAGCAAGAAATTCCGCATCCCACGCGGAGAAGCTGAATCTTGGGTCGACTACATCAAGAGGACCACGAAGCACGTCGAGACCACGTGCGCCGAGTAGGGGTACGAGGGCTGGGAAATCACGCAGGCGGCCCGCAAGGCTAAGTTTGCAGAGGAGATTTCAAGCGGCGACCCAGCAAAGTGGAGTCGCAGGCTGCTCCGGTGGAGCCCCTGGCATCGGTGTTGGCCAAGGCGACGAGTTGGCAGACC